CCCCCCCGTACTTGGTCTTCCTTTTCTTCTGCCTTTGACGTTCCCCAGCATGAACGTCTCCTCCAGGGAGCCTGGTCTTCTCGTGATGTGCCCAGAGTAGGCCGGGCTGCTTTGTCCTTTGGCTTCCACCAGTATAATTGCTCAGATGTTGGTGCACGGGTGCGGGTACGAGTCGGTGGGGCAGTGGTGGGCAGTGAAACACTCGCCATGAATGTCCCCAGAGCTGCACCCCCCAAGAGAGTTAAAAAGTCACCTCAGCTGAGCGAGTCTGCACCAACGAGCAGCTTCCAGCAGCCGCCACCCCTTCGAGGAGCCGCCGTCCCTCTGTCTTGGGGACCTTGTGGCCTATTCTTGGCCAGCCCACCCTGAAAGAGCTTGGCATGACGAAAAGGGACCTCCATCCCCCTCCCCATCCCCATCCCCAGCGAGGCTGAGGCTTGTGGCAAAGCTGAGTCCAGGGTCAGGGTTTGGGTCAGGGTCAGCGTCAGTGTCAGGGTTAGGATTAGGGTTAGGGTTAGGGTTAGGGTCAGGGTCAGCGTCAGGGTTAGGGTTAGGGTCAGGGTTCCAGGCCTCGGGGTTCCAGGCCTCTGCTGACAATAACGGTAAAAGTGTCAGGCTGCAAGGCCCGCCTCTACAGCACCCCTGGGGGAAGCAAAACGTTCTGCTGATTTCCAGCAAATCAAGTCCTCCCCCTGCCCCCCCAGAGAGCAACTAAGCTCTGCCATTTTGTTTCTGGGCAAAATGATCTTTCATGCGGTCTCCTCACTATGCTCGTCATATTCGACGTCATATTCCTGTGCGTTGCAGGGGATTCTGGGTACAGTGTGTAGTGTTTACCACTCTCAGAGGCATCTTATGCAGGGGACTCTGGGAACCACGTGTGCAGCTCCCAGAGCCACCTGCTGGGCCACTGCTTGATCTGCAGCAGCCTTCCCTTCCCCAACCTTGCGCCTTCCGGTCATCTTTGGTCCGCAACACCCAGGATTCCCAGTCAGTGGCCCTGCTGGATGGGAATTCTGGGAGTTGCGGTCCAAATGCCTCTGAAGGCCACCAGGTAGGGGACGGCCGCTCGGCAGGAACCATCCGAACAAGGCGCTCGATCAGTGCTGGCTTTTTGGGGGGGGGGGGGTTGTTGGCACCAGAGCCTAAAACGGCCTCCAGCAGCGTGTGCTCTTCTCTATGGTCGGGGGCCGACTCCGCTCCCGTCAGCCTTGCCCAGTGGGGGGATGGCCAGGGACAGCTGGAGCCGTGGCACAGAACATCCGCAGGGCTGCTCCGGAGTGGGAGGACCTGGAGCTGCTTCTCCTGGCTCCGGTGCCCCCTTGAAGGCTGAGCCGGCAGGAGGAGGTGAAGCAACAGAGTGAGGGTGCCGAGAACCGGGTCGTGGCATCCCTGCCGAGGGTGGCCGCTTGCTCATCACCCCAAAAGGGAGCATGCACCCCTGAAGAGGAGGCAAGGGAGCATGCATTCTGGGGAAACGGAGGCAACGGCAGTGATGCCAATTCGGAAGCTGCTGCGATGGGGAAGAGCACCTTCTGCCTCTCCCGGCCAGGTTGGTAGCAGGGCCACAGCCCGCAGCCTGGCTGCTTTCCGGTGCCGTGCCCGTCCCTCCGTTGGGAGTTTCCTCATCCTGAGATGGAATGCCGACTGAACAGCCCTTCAGAGAGAGGACTGTTCATAAAGTGAGATGCATGGGCACCCTGTCCCCACCAGGACGTGGCACCTCGGCACATCTCCAGGGGTGCCAACCTTTGGCACCAGCGCCGAATGCAGTCAAGAGCCAGTGTCCGCTTGGCCAGGAAGGTCACTGGGTGACGTTGGGCCAGCCCAGCCTCCCTCACAGGGCTGTTGTGAGGCTAAAAATGGAGAGGAGGTGGCCCACATGGGCCGCCCTGAGTTCCCCGCCCAAGGAAAAGAGAGCAAAATGCTAATATAATGTTACACTCATCCTGGATAAATTCTGTCATTCTTCTATGGTCTCCTCACCGACGAACTCTGATAAACTTACAATAGACTGCAGGGTTCCTAGAATTACTTTTGGAAAATTGCTGTTTTAAAGAGATTAGAGGTACAACCCCTTGGAGGCCTTTTTCTGCCTAAACTTGCACTGGATTGTTTGAAAGTGTGTTTCGGGTTACTCATTTCCCCCGAGTCATTTGTGGGGCAGCCTTTCCAATCTTGCTCATCAGTGTACTTGCAAAAAGCCAGTGTTTGACGCAAACTCCCTCGTTCTTTTCCCCCTTTCCCTTTATCAAGAACGTGTTTATATCTGATGCTGTCAGAGTTCGGGACAGACCACAAAAGAAAAACTCCAGCTGGTCTGGAGGCATCTAAAAATAGCACAGCCGTCCCTTTGTGTTTGTCTGAACCTATATGACGCTGGTCTTTTTATATCCTTGCTGAGTCCGAGGTTTTGGTTGGCCGTCCAAAGGCCTGAAATCCTGCTTCCTCTGGGAGTAGTCCCATTAACTTCAGTGGGGCAACCCCAGGGCTGCAATCCAGTGGCCTCCAGGAACAAAGTTTAAGGGAACTTGGGAGTGTTATAAGCCACCAAGGAAATGGATAGAAGTGGGGCTTACGGAGATGAAAATGATAGGGAGAAGGTAGAGGGCCGGTGTGGGGTGGCGGCTCCGAGCACAGAGTCCCGACTCAGCCATGGAGGCCACGGGGGGACTTTGGGCCAGTCACAGATGCTCAGCCCAGCCTACCTCACAGGGTCGTTGTTGTGGGGATAAGACTGAGAGCAGCAGGAGGAGAATGACGTTAGCTGCTTTGAGTTCTTTGTAAGGAAAAGCTGGGAGAGGAGTCTAATAAATAAGCAATGGGAGGAAGAGTTTGGGCTGTTAGTTGCAGCCACGAGTGGGAGCCATTTATTTACTCCTGACTTCTAGGGCGACCTAACCCTTGGACGACCTGCAAGTGCCTTCCCCGGACGCTTGGGTACGGCCCCTCATCCGTCCCGGCTGGCTTAGCCAACGATCGAGGATCATGGGGGTTGTGCTCCCAGCCGTGTGGCCTGTCCCAGGCAACTTTTAATGGCCCACCCTATCTGGGGATGGTGGCCCCCGGCGCCCTCAAAATATGCTGGCATGCAGTTCCCATCATGCCCAGCTACTCTGATCAGGACCAGCAAGTTGCTTCTCCCGGTGGTCAAAGGAAACATCTGGGGCGTCCCAAAGCAGAGTCTGAAGCCACCTAACCCCGCTTGGCTCCATGCAGATTGCCTGTGAGCGTGGCGGTGCAGAGAGCCGGGGGGCGAACAGCCTCAGCGACCGTGCCCATATCCCCCCCCGACCCCCACCCAGGTGCAGAGCTGGGCTGTTCTGCATGCCAGGAAGTGTTTGTTTGCAGGCAAAGCCGCGCTTGTGTGTGTGGAGCGATTCTGCTCCCCGCGACTGGCAACGCCAGACGTGATCTCGGTTTGCAGCTCCCTCGCTTTGCTCCCCAGAACGGAAGGGGGGCCACGGAGAAGCAGCCCGTCCCCGCCAGCCTCGGCCACGCTGCAGAGCCACCGCACGTGGCCGCGGGAGCCACTCCAGGCGTTCCATCCGTCCGGGCAAAATGAGCGAAAATGCTGCTGCCACATGACCGCCGAGAGCCTGACACTGTAAGAGCCGCCTCAGACCTAAGGTGGGATGGTGGAGCTCATCCGGAGTCCGTCTCGCAGGCCTGGCTTCACACGCGTGCCGTAGACATCCCGGCCTCCCTCTCCTGAGAGGCCTGTCCTTGGGGCGCCCCTTAGGCACGCCCGTGTCTGAAAGCTCTTCCTGCACGGAGTTGTGCTAACCCCATTCCGCCCTTGCGGGTTGTTTCATGTGCCCCAGCATACTGCCTCCGTGATCTCCCCCGATTCCCCACCCCTCCTCCAATCCCGTCTCTAACTGGTGCTTTGTCAAAGCCTCTTCTGCCGACTCCACCTGCCGCAGGTGTTCCCCACGTGTCTGAATAAGCTACAAGTGTTCCTTGGATTAGACCCCAGCCCCCAAGGACTCTCGAGAAGTACCTTTTTCCACCCGTGACAAATCCCAAGCTCGTGAAGTTTTAAAAATCTACCAGGTTTAACTCCCCAGTGCTGACCTGCCTTGTTGGGACGGGAGATGGGGGGTGAGGGAGGGTTCCATGGAGGGTCCGTTCCACAGTGGTGGTCCCCATTCACCAGAAAGCTTTCCAGAAAGGTATTCCAGGCCCGGACTCAGAAAGCAGGCCGGATTTCCCTGCCCTAGGGCAGAGGTGGGCGGGATCGATTTTGCTGGGGCCTCCGAGTTCGGAGTCAGGGCCAGGGGCAAGATGGCGGCTCAGGGGAAGGAGCCCCCAACCGTCCACAACCACGAACGTGTTCCCATGGCTTGCAGGCCCAAATCTGCAGAAGTCTCGCATTTTTCGGGGGGGGGTGCTCTTAAATGGACCACCAGACCTGTAGGAGGCCTAAAGCGATGGATGGGTAATATCGGCATTTTACAGGTGACGAATTCTGAGGTCAATAGAAGCAATTCAGCAGGACAAGACGTGCCTTGGCAGGATCGACTTGGTATTTGATAAACTCCTGGGCATCGGAAAGCCTCGGTGCTCTTACGTGGCTCCCCCAGGCAGCTACCAGCCGACGCGTGATCTGCCTTTGCCTAGGGCTCTGGAGAGGGATGCTGGGGACTCCCAGAAGCCCCTGCCAGCTTGGCCCATGCCCAGGAATGCTGGGAGATGAAGTCCCAGAACCTGGAGGCCTACCTTCTTCCCGACCCTGGCTAGCAGGCAGGGCTCTAGGCTATGAGGCCAGGCACCTGCAAACCCTATCGTAGGACCAGACTTGGTTGCCACACAGCCGCTCCCTCCAGACTGCAGACAAAAGCAACATAATCACCACAGTTCTCCAGCAATCATTAGCCACCAAATCTTATTTGAGTCGCCCACCTCAGCCGTGCCCTGCAGAAGAGAAAGCGGACACACAAAAGCCAGAGATCAGCTGGGTCGACCGGTGGTGGAACCAAGTCCCTTGGACATGTTCTTCACTTGCAGGACATGATCCGCAGGAACTCTTCGTAGTTCACCTGCCCATCTCCGTCCACGTCCGCCTCCTTGATCATCTCCTCCACTTCTTCGTCCGTCAACTTCTCGCCAAGGTTGGTCATGATGTGCCGCAACTCGGCCGCGCTGACGTAACCATTCCCGTCCTTGTCGAACACCTGGAAGGCCTTCCGGATCTCCTCCTCGCCATCGGAGTCCTTAATTTTCCTTGCCATCAGGTTCAGGAATTCGGGGAAGTCCACTGTCCCGCTGCCGTCAGCATCCAACTTTTCAATCATCTCTCGCAGCTCGGCTTCCGTCGGGTTCTGCCCGAGGGACCGCATGACTGTCCCAAGCTCCTTGGTGGTTATGGCTCCATCCCCATCCCTGTCAAACAGCGAGAAGGCCTCCCTGAACTCCGCAATCTGCTCTTCCGAGAGATGGTGAGCCATGCCCTGCTTTCCGTCTCGGCGCCCCTCCGATGGCGATGCACAGCCTTGCTGTTCTCCCGTGCGGTGCAGAAATGCTTCTCTCCGCTTTTTGGGATTTGCCAGCTAGCAGAGGTGTCTCCTTTGGCACATGGCCTGAGAATGATCTAGTCCCCGGGGAAAGAATGGGCAACACTCAGGCTGCGATTCTGCTGGAGCAAACCAAAACATGGACATAAACACGAGGACACCACGCCCTGTAATTATATAACCCGCCATTCTGGTTTCAGCAACACTTGCGAAAGACGAACGCACAAAGAACTTGGATTCTGGATTCCCCACCTTCCGTTTGGAGCGTGGTGCGGAGGGGACCATGGGATTGGAAGCAGGCTTGGAACAGCAGTGGGGCGTCTTCTTGGCACAACATCCTGTCTCCGTAAGTGCCCAGAAGCAGTTGGCAGAATCTTGGGCCGAGTCTGTCCTGCCAGTTGTAATAGCGGTGGGTTTTCTCCTTCTAGTGGCGTTTCTAGGCACTTAAAAGATGTGGGGCCCAGACCATGACCCACAGCACACCAAGCCACATAAAAATTGCATGTGCTGATTTGCGCATGTAGATACAACTACAAATAATAATTAATTCCTTATCCAAACCATCGCGAGATAAATTCTTCAGCCAATTTGCCCCTGGCCTCAAGTTGTCCCAAGGCAACTGAAAAAGACCCTGGAAAATATATTCCGGGCTGGGTTGCAGCTTCCATAGGCCTGGGAATCCCCGACTCTTCTGCACAAAGCTTGGGGGACTGATGCCTGGAGAGGGTGCAAGGGACCCGCTGATGGAGATCCACGGATGCCATCAGCGGTGGGAGGGGATTATGGTCCACCTGGTTTAATTCTGTGGGTTGGTCCTCAGCGTGCTAAGGAGAAGGCTTGCTGATAAGAGGAGAATGGAGAAGCAGGCAAAGAGAAGCCCCTTCGGCACCTCCAGGGAAGACTTCCTATCGCTCACGCTCAAAAGACGGGGCGCCTCGTCCAGAGCTGCTCACTTAAAAGATCTGCTGCCCTGAGAACCACGATGCACAGAGTGGTGGGAAAACACGGTCGGGCTCGGAGTGGAAGATGGTGACGGCCGCAAATCCCCTCGAGGGGGCCAAGGCAGCGGCGTGGCACAGACCTCCCCTGGACGCGAGGGGCTTCTGCTGCCTGCCCCTAGCCGGGAGGGTCCCCGAGCCCTCTAGCCCCACCTGCAAACACTCGCCCACTCCTCCTCTCTAAAGGGGCGGCATGAAGAGCCGCCTTCCTTGATTTGTGCTTTCTTTTCTGTTTCGTCAAGCGATCCTCAAGAAAACAAAGGGTTCGGTATTAACACGGGAGCTGATGAGTGGATGCGTGGTCGCTGGCTGGAGCGGCCCTGGCCAGCTCGGTGCTCGGTTTTTGCATCGTTCTGTCCGCTGCCCCCGGAGCCTTTTGGGCTGAAGGACAGGGTGGGAATGTTTCCAAATCGGTCATAATAAGTGACAGTACGGTGTAGTGGTTAGACACAGAGCAACTTTCTCCTGCCTAGTGCTTTCCAGAGGTATTGCACTGAAACTGCTATCGTCCCCAGCATAGCTGACTTAGAATGATGGGAATTGCCTTCTTTGCCCAGCCACCAGCGTGGCTTGTTTTTGCCTGCTTGTTTTAAATCATTTTTTCTGGGGGGTTTTTGCATCCAGCAGTATGAAAAAGTATTGGTTGGTTTAAAAAATCCACCTTCCAGATTGGATTTAAGCTTTTTATCGTTTTCTGCCCTGTAATCTATTTAGATGCGGAATAGTACATAAATGGAGGCGTTTGGGGCTGCAGAAGAGGGGAAAGGGAGGCATCGCCCGTGAAACACCTTCCTGCCCCACCTGCAGTAGGGAAAACGGCCCCGCCAACCCTGCGAGGTTTGGGAACTCCGCTCTGGTATTCCGAACCAGTTCCGGGGCTGAACTTGTACCCAGGGGCACCTTGTGGTTTAATTTGGGTGGGAAGTCCCCCAAGCCGCCATTTTGCCCCTGGCTCCTGGTGGAACTCAGCCGTCATGTAAAAAGCACTGTAGCTGATCTGGCGGAGAGGGCCCTGACCCACGATGCAGCAATCCATCCCAAATCTAGTCATCTTCAAGAAGCCAGAAGGTTCGCTGTCGCTTCACTGCAAAAGCCTATCCCTCTGGTGGGAAGAAAATTCCAAAATCCACAGCCAGGCAACTTCTGAACCGAGCCTGCAACTGCAAGAGGCTGGGTGTTGCGAAAAGCAGAGCACGGAGGCAAAACCCCAGCCAAGTCCAGCAATGCGGGCCCGGAAGAAGCAGCTCCCACGTCTTGTCCACTCGCGACGGCCTCTGCAGAGCTACCTGGGACAAATGCAGGAGGGAGGGGAAGTGCAACGCCACCCCTGTGGAGCAGACCACTGCAAGACATGCCGGCAAGGTGAAATCACAGCTCTGGAGGTCCAGTGTTAACATGGACTTGCAAAAGGCAGTAACTCATGGAACAGTGAGGCAACATTCCCAGGAGTCTGTGGTTTGATTCGTTCTGTGATACGATAGCATCACCAGAGGAACACAGCATCGGGTCCTGAGGCTCAATGCATTCTGGGATTGTTGGTGTTTTGCTCCGGCTGGCCATGATCCTAGGCGGAGGAGTGTCTTTGCCATCCCCTGCGACCCGGGAGCCTCAGAGCGAGGTGTCCAGAGCCCCAAATGAAAAGAGAACTCCCCCTCTTTTGCAAGAAAACAGAAGAAAGGAATGTACGCTGACAACCTAAATGATCTCCCAGGTTTCTTCCCACTCTAACCTGTTTTTGTATCATCGTTTTTACTGTTGCCGCTGCTTCTCTTCAAAAGACACAGCATTGCATGATCCCTGAAGCTGTTTGGGCCCGGGACCGTGTGCCTCCGCTCCAGAGCTGCCCTGTGGGTCCCGCAGCCCACATGTTCTGCATGTTCCTCTCCAACATGTGAACCCACCGTGGCCAAATCTTGTGCCCACAGCACAACACCAGCCACGAAACCTGCTTTGGAAAGGAAGCAGATCTCAAGCGGGTGAGATACCCGCTCGTGAGGAAAGCTGCAGTAATACAGCGCAGGAGGACCAACTCCCTGCTGATTCCTGGCAGAAGAACCCAGACGTGAGCACTTCCGACATTTCAAGCACCGGCTGAGGGGACCCCCTGGGCCAGGAAAGCCTGCTCCTAAAATGCTTTTGGCAGGCTTTCTGGAGTCACAGGAGCCTCCGCTTTTTGGACAAGGGAGACCCTGGCATCGAAGCGGCACATCAGGAAGAATACGGCGAGGCCACGGCAGGGCCCGGGTTTGAGAGATCTCTCCGTGGCTGACTGCAGGCTTACCTGGGCGCAGGGATGAGCAGGTACGACCTGATTTTAAATTTCCTGCAATGCCCCAGAGCAACTGGAGCTGCCATTTTAGATTTCTCGCAGTGCCCTGGTACAACGGGCACTCTGGGGATATTTTTTTTGGGGGGGGATTAAAGAGCAGGTTCTGGACTGCTTGGCATGGAAATTATATGGCAAGCATCCAAAGTGGCAGGTGCCACCCCGAGCGAGGGCTGCCAGCGCGCCTCTCTCAGGCCACTGCAAGCCCTGAATTCTAGTGGAATCCCTTCAGAGGGCAGAAGGCGCCCCAAGTCTTCTCTTACCGGCTACAAAGGGGCACGATCCACTGGTGAGCTCTCCCAGGCAAAGCCCAGTGAACGGACAGTGGCTCGGATCTGCGCGTCCCTCCGAAAAGCCAGCAGCCCAGACAAACAACTCGAGAGAAGAGGGATCATAGCTTTATTTTTTCCCCGAGGCCCTGAGACCACATCGCCCAAGACCCAAGTAACCTCTGCAAATCCTTCAGAGGGGCTGACTCCAGTTTTGCTAGAAACGGCTGCGCAGAGAATGCGCCTTGACAAGCACCTCCGGTTCTTGCGTTGCAGTTTAGCTTCTTTGACCGGGGAATTTCTGCACGTCGTGCGTTGGGGTGCGCCAGAAAAGAGCCGCTCTTTGGCCACAGCAGATCGCAGCGAGCTCCAGCGCCGTTCAGGCTCCAATCTGCAGACCAGGGGTGGTGAGCCACCAAGCCTCGCGGAAGCGAATTCCCTGCTTCCTGCAAATGAATAGCAGACACACACCCAAGAGACAGTCACGGAGGCATGGTGAGAGAAAGCCCCCAGCCCCCATGGCGAGAGAAAGCCCCCTTTGCTGTGCAGAAAGAACAGCCAGCCAGGTTTCCGCATTGCACCCCGTGGCAAGGCTGAGAGGGAAGCAAAGGCCCCCCACGTTTAGGATTGTCTAAATAGGAGCACGTGATCCGTGAACTGTGTCCCAGGATCCTTTGCCACGCCGCTCCGGCCTCACACCTCAGGCGGCAAAGCCACGCGTGTGCGTGATTTCCCATGCGCTCGTGTCCCTTTTATCCCTTGGCCGAGGAGAAGCCCTGCTGCCGGCCGGTGCTAAAACCCTCGAGTGTCGCCAACGCTCGTGTGGAGCCTGGGCTGACGACTTGAGCTCCAACAGAGAGCCCAGCAGGGCTGTTGCCAAGATGGCGGAGGCGGTGCGTGGGAAGCCCTTTGAACCCCCAGAAGGGACACGGCAGGAAAAGCAGCGTGGTTGACGGTGGCAGTGGAGGCGATGGTGGCCCTGCGCGGCCGCGTGCGATCGCAGAGCTTTCTCCGACATCCACGCGTCGCCGCAAAGAAGCTGCTGGACTGTTTCGTCTGCAGCGCTGCAGCCTGCAGAAAGGGCGGGCACATGTCCCCGTGCCTGGGCCGTGGGCCTGCGTGCCAAACCACAGGTGCAAACAAGCCGTCCTGAGACTGTTGCACAGGGCAGGATAAAAATGTTCCACACAAACAAGCAGGGATGGACGCAAGCCAAAGTTGTGATTAGCAGCTTTGGAAAAGATGCAGCGAGCTGACTGGGAAAACTGGGGGTGAAAACGGGCTAAAATGGGCATAAAACCAACAGAGCATGTTCAAGTCCACCCAAAAAGGCAAAAGCGT